AGCTGGACCCGCCGGTGGGTCCGTAGGGTTCAAAGGGTTAACATAAAAAAGAGTGACAAAAACATTTGTTTGAGTGACACTAGGTATTTGTGTTGCACACTTCTAAATTAAAGCTGATATATTTAACACCTATCTGCGAGGGCTTAAAAATCTCAGAACACTAAATTATATCGTCTTCTGCTTTAAATCACTGCATGACTTTATCCCTGACCTTTCTGCCGTGTTTCTTGGCCTTCCTTGTGTGGATTGCAACACACCTTTGGGATGTTCTCGTACTGTCATAAATTGCTTACATGGGGAAATCTGCATACAAACCAGTTTCAATTAGTTGCTCAAGATTTCATTTAGGTGTTTATAAAGTTAAATTTGCGATGTATGCAAATTCATGGCACATTTTTCGGGGCAAAATATGTTGTTTTCCTGCCACCTTAAAATGAGGGCTATTTCTCTGTTTGTCTGTAACAATAGAATCATTTGGTGTGTGGTTTTGACGTGACAAGATGCTCTACACTTTTCCAAGACACTGCAGGTAAAATCAGGAAATCCACAGGATGGAGTGCTGTGTAATTTTGCAATTACATTAGATTAACTCGGGTCTATAGAGCTCATATACTAAAAGGAAGAAGCCGCGACATTTTCACGGCGGGGCACAAATTGAATTGGCAGAATGGAGGAGAAGTCACCTGCTGTTGCACATTAAAGCACCGACAGAAGCAGCCGCTCAATGTGTCACAGTGGCTTCACTGACTTTCCAGCACTGCTGTAGGGGATACAGGCTGCACTTAAAGCTGCAGCATATTTTTCTTTCATCTGTTGCTAGAAGCAGTGTGTTACAGCAAAGGTGACATGTGAGTGAAACACCTACAGTCCACACAAGCTTTCTTTTTGTTGGTGGTTTCCATATTTATAGCAATAAAGGGTTAAGTAAAGGCAATAAAAATATGTTTTCTTCCTTCCGATTCTTTAACGCTTTAAGGGTATTCTTGCATTACTTTTTTCTTATGTTTTCGTTAAATTCATAAGACTCAGCACAAACTGTTAATGAGGTTATTAAAAGAGGAGAAATCTGAGTGCTTCCTCTTGTTTGAAGTGTTTTTTTTTCTCAGTGACCTTATTGAAGATGAGGCAAGAAAACATTAGCTGCCTTTTGTCCCTGAGAGAGTTAGAAAAAGAGCAGACCCAGCAGTTGTTTTTAGCAGCTCTTTCCGTCGCCCTTGAAAGATAAGAGATCTACGGACTCACCGTTAGGCATCCCATCAGGCTTTGCTCAAAGGGGCGCTGGAACGCTCGGGGGTCTCCACACCAGTCCAGCAGCTCGGTTGCTGCCGTTTGGAAATTTGCTGGATTTTGTAAGTGCTGTGAGAAAAAGAAAGAGGGAGAAAACTGTGAAATGTCTCTAAAATCAATCTATTGTATGGAGGCAATGGAGTAAGAGACACAACTGTATTTATTATCTAAAAAATAGTAGGTGAGGTAATAGAAATTAAAGCTATGCACTAAAAATGTTTTATTTATTCTATACAATTTCCCTGTTTTGATTATGAATTAATCCTTTCACAATGTCACTAGAACCACCAAAGAGTGGCCAGGAAAAGGAAATGAACTTCTTTTTAAAAACTGGCCCTCCTATTGGTAGAAATTATCTTCCAGGTTCAGCTCATATATTAGAATATCAAAGAAAATATATATATATTTCAGCGATTCAACACAAAGGGCTAAAGTCATATTATATAGGTTTATTCTATACAAAGTGAGGCGTTATTTTTATTAGTTTTCTTTTAATTATAGAAAACATCTGATGAAAATCCCAAATTGAGTCTTTTCTCCGAAAACATAATATTCCTATTCCTAAAAAAATGGAGTTTAACAGGAAAATGCTATGGTGGCAGGGCTGGACAATAATTCAATATCAACATATGGAAAGAGAATTGAATTGAACAGTGTAAGACTTTTTTTAAAAAAATATTCCTGCATTCATAACAGTCAAATACGATTACAGCATTTGTCACTGACTGACATTTTGGTTTGATGTAGTTGAATGTTTTTTGTTTTTAAAACAAATATTTCTAATGTGTTTAGAGAAGGTTTATAAACATGGCAAAAATATTTGTCTTTCTGTGGCTTTTATTTTATAAATATCAACATTGAGATTCTATTGTGTTTACCTAAATAAAAAATAGAGTAATATTAGTTTTGGTCATATTTGCAAGCCCTATGTTATGGCCTACATTATTATGGTAAAAACTGATTATTTAACAGCTGTCCAACAAACAGGCATTAACAACTTCAATTGCAGTAGGTTAGTAAACTTTATTTATAAAGTACTTTTTTAAGATTTAAAACCACAAAGTGCTTCAAAAACAAAATTAATCCCACAAATCAATATTTAAGCAAAAGCACATTTATTAAGATGAATTTTTTGTTGTCCTTTAATAAAAGAAGTCATTAAGTCCACTAATCTTACTGCAGGGGGGAAAGGGATTCCAAAGTTCACAGAAGAAAAGTCTCTGTCTCCTTTAGTTTTTAACTTGTCTCGGGGGCAGTCAGCAGGGCTTGATCACAGGACCTAAAGGTCCTGATGTAAGGATGATAAAGTCCAGCGAGGAAAATTGGGGTGTGTCTATGCAATACTCGCCAAGTCAAGACCAAAATTAAAAGTGGATTTACATGACAGAATTTAAAGATCCAGTCAGGAACCCAGCAGCAGCATTCTGCAAAAACTGCAAATGTTCTTGGGGGATTTTAGATAAACATGTGTAAAGCATATTACAAAAACCTAGATATGATGAAACAAAAGCACGGATTACGATTTCCATCTCTACGAGTAAAACAGTTTACAGATACCTTTCCAGCTATGAATATATTAGAAAAACAGGTTAACAGATGCTTCCATAAATGTTCAGTTTTTCTACAAAAGCACTTTAAGCAGAGGATACTATCATTAATCCAAGGTGTGGGATTTGACATGGCAGTGACATCTGTTTAATATGGCACTGTCAAAGATAGATCGACAATGATCATTAAAACTATGGTTTTAAACAATCTACATCAGTAATGGGAGAGGAAAAAAGGCTAAAATCAGTAGTAAAAGGTCTGTGGAGGAATCTAAAAACTGAAAGCTACCCTCTTTGAGATCTGAGGGCTTTAAAAAAGTTTGAGATGACTTGAAAATAATGCAATGATGGTCTGAGATTAAAATCTCATCTCACTAAAATGAAAAAAACTAAGTCCATGGTGTGTCCTTGTGGAGTAAGTGGATCCTAATATATCCTGAATAAGATTACCAAGTATTGTCAAGAGAAATAATCAAGAGAGACACCAAATAATGCCGAAAACTGGGCTTCATTCTCACTTCAGCAGTGCTATTGGCTGATCGCCTCCATAACATGACACAGTATCACATTAGCTCATAGAAAGGGAGCCCATGCAAACGATTGAGTGCAAATATGGGCAAGATATAAAAATGTATGGGCTTAATTTGTGGTCTGCCTACATTACTGTATTTTGAATCCTATAAAATTGCTAACCTAATGTTCGGTATTTATTGGCTGAAACTAAAAATCATGAAAACTAAAATACATTCTCGGAATAAAGTGCTGTGCATGCACTATAGAGCCACTAACAGTTATTTCCAATTTTTCCTTCTAAATCGCTATAAATAGCCACTATATAAAACTGGGAATAGACCCCCATACAATACACAAATTATAGACCCGTTTCTTTACTTCCCCAATTTTCCAAAATCTTAGAAAAACTATTAAATAGGCTTGAAAAATTCATATATTACTATATACGTGATTGTGAATTGAACAATAATTTTGCTTGGGATCCCACTTTATGGTAGATAGATAGAAAAAACTGATTCATCCATCACAACTGGCCCACTCAACTGTAGAAGCTTGCAAACCTCAAATATAAACAACATCCCTCAGTTGTAATCTGGAGCCTTTGGAGAAATTATGGACACAAACCTTTGTAGTGCACTTGCTCAAAACAGGAACAAATGGACTCCTACTGCACAGCATCAAAGGTAAATAGAGTGGGCTGTCACCTTAAAGAGGGTGGCTGTCTTCTTGATGAGTGTGTGTGCTTTGATTTCACTGTCAGAGAGTAGGACAGCTGCTTTTTTTCTGATTGCTCTTTAGGGGGCAGCACAGGTCAGGTTTTGAGGAGGATGCTTTCATATCAGCTTATGAAGGTGGAGTTTGACAAGGAGGTGGATGAAACCAGGCTAGTTTATTTTCTGCTTATGTCTGTCACTGTGTTGGCTGCTGGCTTCATACACGAAGAGAGCTCAGCTTAAAGTGAGACGTGGCAGGGATGCAGAGCATGTGCATTTCTGCTGGGTGAGAAAGTGAAACGCATCCACAGATGCTAAATTTAGGGGAGTCTGGAAGCTAGACAACACACACAATCGGTGCACCAAGGATGGAAAAAAGAGGGAGGAGGAATACGTTAGAAGGGAAGGGAGAAAGAAAACACACACCAGCACTTGGGCTTGAAGTGATTACTGTTCTTTGCACTCAGAACAATTGGTCCCACCAGTGTGGCTGTCACTCGGAGAGCTTGGCACAGCCACACCACAGATGTTCCCCTCTTTATGGCCAAAGAACCACCAATCAAACCCAAACCAGTGGCCAACAAACACCCTCCTCCTGCTCCGTTACCCTATTGCTCCCACTGACTCAACATTTACACACCATTCAAAGCTCTGCTCAGTTTGAGGAGGGGAACAAAGATGGACAGGACGTGCAGTGTCCTGAGATGCACACACAGCCCTCTTCTGTAGTCACGTCTGGAAAACAACAAGCACATCTGCAGCCTAACTGGAAGTGACAGAGCGTGCAATCTGGCAAACACGCTTTTTCCATTCAGAAAAAAAAGAGGCTGCTGTTGTTCAACATTCATTGGCGCAACAGAGAAACATATTAATGGAGACAATTAACCCAGGAAAGGGAGTTCAGCAGAAGCTACACAAAAACAGCTGTGTGGTCTAAACAGTAGCGGCGTTGGCTAGAGTTTATCTTAAAATATGGGTCCTAAGCAGTCAGAGGAAGCGCCCGTGCAGGGAGAGGACAGTTTGCAGGTGTCTGCAGAGTCTCCCTCCAAGTATGCATCACCAGAGAGCATAGTCTGACAGCAAACTGGCTTCCCCACAGTGAGAAGAAAATACTATCTCCGAAATAGATACCAGCAGTATCAGGGAAGCCATCTTTTCCCCAAAGTGTTCACAATGGTGCAATTCTGAGATACAAGGGAAAAACAAACCTGTCAGAGAAAACAAGTGCTGGTATGTAAAAAGACAGGTGTTTTTAGAACCTCTTGTCTGTTTGGAGGTAAACCTGAGCAAATTTGGTTGCTCTTTTATATGTGAGCTCTTAAAAACTTGTGTGTTCTCTCCTTTTTTTTTTCTCCAAATGCAAGAGCCACCTTTTAACTAATTATACAAATCTTTTAGATTATTTGTGCAGCAGCTTTTTTAATCCAGAAACTATCTTTGTCAATTTTAAAATGATGCAAAATCAGACAGAATGAATTGAGGATGTCACTTAATATAAGTTTTCTAACCTTGCCGCTGATACACATTTGAATATAGTTCTAGACTTTGACTGGGTTATATTAAAAGCTTAGTAGAGCACATAAAGTTTAGCTGTGGCCATATCTGTGATCTGCCTGTAGGATGAATGAAATAATTATTATAAAATAATTATGCCTTAGGCTTGGCCTTTAAAGATTTTAAAATGGACATCATTTTGAGTATGCTGGCAAGGATTTGGGATAAAAGAATTAAAATTTACTTAAGATTTATTAAGAAAAATGTTAAGCTAAATCTGGACTTAGGAGGTGACACTTGATGTTTAAATTAGATTGACATCTTGAAATATATATATAAAGAGGAAAAGGCATGGGAATTGATTTGGAGCTCACCTAGAAAGTGTTGAGACTGGACTTTAGTGGATTTTTTCTTAGGGTTATGAGGTTTGAGAGTGATAATAACAGTGTACAATACCAGTTTTCCGATTTTTATTAAAATATAAAAACCTGTACCTTTTCTTTACACTTTATAAATATGTGCTAATCAGTGTTTCTCTGTTCGAATTGCAATAAAAAACAGAGTTTTGAGCTCTTATGTCGACAAAAAGGTTATAGAGGAAAGCACACTTTAGTCAGTCTATAACTCTCTTTATCTCTAAACACAAATTCCAACATCTCATTATTGTTTTATTGTCTTATCAGAAAAAGCAGCACGTTTCTGTCTAAAATATGAACAAAAGTAATATTCTGCTCCTGGTTCTTAAGTAAAAGATCCATCAATTCATTTGATAACAATGGGCTGAGTTTTTTCTTTTTTTTAAATTCCGTTATTGCAATTTTACAACAGGGCAGTAATTTAAGAATTACCACAGCAATGATTTTCTGATCTGACTTTCAACCTCCTGATTCAATCACGTTGACAGATTCCAATTTCCTCCACTTTATCATCTCGCTCAGCAGCAATTCATCATTTGAGCAACAAAATCAATTTGTTACCCTGTCCGCCGCTCTGGCTGGGAGCAGTCACACGGACGTGTCGCATCTTCCAGAAAACAACACTTAACAATAGACCAGCCATCATTTGTATTCCCAGACCTTTCTTTGAGATGCCAAAAAAAAAAATATTCTGTGTGCTACAGTTTCAATTAAAGCAAACAGCTGGATTGGTTTACAATATTTCCTTAATTATTTTAATAGCTTGGATATTGGACAATGGGGAGAAAGCGAGGGGGAAAAGATAGCGAGTTAATTGTTCTGATCTCCCCTGATGATCATCTTTGTGCACAGGGAGGAGAAGAGACGGCCAGCTGAATGGGCTCGGCGCTACTCTAATTGGCAGGACATAAATGGTATTTATTATGCGGGCCTTCCAAACCCTGATTGTCTGCAGCACAAAGCTCGCCTCTATTAGCAGGGTGCTGGCTCTTACTGGTCGATTTGAAATGACCCCACGCTTTAACCATTTATTAGATAGACTGGAGGCCTACTCGTGTGCCATGGATCTCTCTAATTGGTGTGTTTACCCATGCGCTGCTTCCTTAGGCGCTAACATCAGGATGTATTTGTTTAAATTTTTGTCCTGCCGGGTTAATACATTTAACCTTCACACATTTAAGCTGTGTAAACTATTGTCAGACACCTTTTTGTACTTCTGCGAGCCCTCTTAAAAAGACTCTCTCTATTTTCATTTCAACTAAAGGAGTGGATATTGAATTATTTAACACCCTGCTGCGATGTAACCAGACTGAGGTTGGAGAGTGTTTACCTCTCTTCCTCTTATTACTTAAGAACATGAACACCACACATCGTCTCAAGCTCCCCATTGGGTAAAAGGATTTGCCACTGACATGTTTAAGTACAACGAGCACCATTTCATAGTCTACTTCGTGTCGCTCTGAGGGACCTCAGTGCTGAGCGTAGACACAAAATGTGCAGTTAGTTTAGGAGAAGGAATCAAACGGAACCCCCCCCTCCATAGCCCGGGGTTAAAATGCTGTGTCACTTTAATTCTGCTGGTGATTTGTCCCATGGATCTGCTGAGAGTCAGTGGTGGAGGGTATTGTGGCGGAGGATGGGTAGCAAATGCTCTTTGACACCAGTCAGTAACCCGAGTCACACTGTAGTCCTGATAACAGGAACAGAGCAGATTAGTCACTTTGCTGTGGTGAAATGAGACCACTGAAGAGTTTGATAATGACTTTCTATACATGAGGTTAGAAATCTTCTACTTTTCTGTCTACTGTAAAGTCAAAGAGTCACTCTTAGGTCATGATTACATACCTAAAATAACATAAAGGCCTTTATGTATAATCATGGCCTCAGCGGAATACAGATTCAGGATAAATTCAGAAGTCTTATATTTGAAATGAAACAGTTTTTTACCTGTTGCATCGCATTAAAAAAAGAAAATCCCACAGCTTTACTTAACAACCTCTGTTAGTAGAGTATGCAAGGCCATTTATTTTGTAAAGGCTTATAAATTAGTATATCTAAACAAATTCAGATGTTAAAATGGTAAAACTGAGCATTTTTCCATGTGTTGTCTGTAAATTGTATCATTTGAATTGTGTGTTGTTTACTTGTTAGACGATCTACAAAAATTGTAGCTAAAATTTTTCAAAAATGGCCTTAAGATCACTTAAAAACTATAGAATTTGTGTTTGGGGCTTAAATTAGGGTCATGTCAGAGAGACTTTCTAACCTCAAGGATTTATTGAAACAGATGAAACCGTTAAAACACCAGAGAAAATATTATTGCCAAAAGTGTAGAGCACAAAGCACAGTGATGTTTGATTGCTGCATTATAGAAAACATAATCATAATCTCTAACTGGAAAGGGTGCAAATCATTTTAACATACTATTTTCTAATAAATTTGTTGATAACAATGTTTTTCCAAAAGTGATGCATCTTTAAATTTGTGTCTTTCCTTTTGAGAGACCCCATTTTGTCTATCAGAAATAAACTTCTTGTCTGAATGAAAATAAAGTAACATTTCAATTTTACAATGATTTGCATAATTTGGGGCTTATATTGAGCATAACATTATCGCCAAAATTCAATTCCCCTCTGCCTCACCTGCTTGATACACTGCAGACGATCATTGGTCTGCTGAATGTGTCTGTCCATCGACGGAATCGAGTTCATGTTGATTGTCCCCGTCTGGCCTCTATCTGCCAGCCATTAAACCGGAGAGCTCTGTAACAGAAACACAGACATTTGTTAAGGCTCAGCTCTAAGGGAAGCTGCTGATCACATCAACTCCAGGATACTGCTGCTGCTCTCTCCCTCTCCTCTCCCTCTGTATGTGTGTGTAGTTTGAGCCGAGCAGGGAGATATTGATTTGGCAGGTGACAAGCACCTCACAGAGCCCAAAGCATGACATTCCCTCTCAGCTCCTGTGACACCCTTAACAAGGCCCGGCAGTTGCCCCGTGCACCTTTGAAAACGACAGGCTGGACTTAAGGCAGGATGTCTGGCCATGTTTAAAGTGCCTCTGGGTGAAAATGAACTGAGGTAGGGAGGGACACACACACACATAATGCGTCAAACCTCACAGCCTGTCAGCATTATCACAGAGAAACTGCATGAAGCTCCTCCATCCTCCTCTGTGAGAACATTAACCTGGCATGTGGCTCTCTGTTTACATTACTTAGCCATTAAGTAATCTTTGGTTAACAATTATCTGTACTCTGGGTCTATCATGCTCTGCATACCCCCCACTTCCCCTCCTCCACCTCCTCCTCTCCCAGTACTCGCTCTCCCAGAGTTCCCTAACAAAAACCCTTACAGCGCACTATTGATTCTGAAGCTGGAGCCCATAGAAACCCATTTCTTTGTTTTCATGCAGGTGGGCCAAACAATTAGGTTGTGATCTGACATACTACACATTATTATCACAAGGTTATCAGCTTTGCCTCCTGGACACTGATTTAATGCTGCATTCAGTGTCAAATAAATATTACAAAACAGTTGTCGGCTATAAATCAGTGACCTGCATTTTAAAGCGGAGGGGTGAGTGAATTAATGGGCACATTTATGAGGAGTGGGGAGCGTCTCCTTCCATCGCCTCCCCCCCTTCCTTCCATCTAACGGTGTCTCCTTCTTTCCTTTCTGTTGCTGCAGGGCCATCTAATCTCCCACACTCCTCCTTACCCTCAACATCGTTCTCCATTACCGATCTCACTGTGAGAAATTTCCCTGCACAAAGTACCTGCGAGATGACTGGAGAGAGTGAGAGACGGGGAGAAATAAAAAGAGAGGAGGCAGCATGCTGCACCATACCGATAATGCTCACTTAGGGGTCTCTAGCTGGATTTAACGGCAGGGCCGGTAATCTACTCCACTAGACAGCTAAAGAGCTTTTATGCTACCTATTGGAGCCGCTCATGCCTGTACTTGAGAGGAGAGAAGGGCACAGGAGTGCATTCCTCTCCATAAATTAGAAAGCTCATAAAGAAAAAGAGACATCCGAGGATATGTTTTTTTTTTTCCTTCTCTCCAATTCTGTGTTTGCAGATGAAATGTATCTGTTTGCTCACATTTCAGCGATCCCACACTTCACTCACACACTAAATAACTTTGTGATTGTTGGAGCAGTGGGAGTCTTTCGTTATAAGTTTGGCATCCTGGAATTTGATTGCTAAAACAAGGGTAAGAGCAAAAAAATAATAGAGGTGTAGCAATCGGATTTAATTTTTGTAATCAGTGAAAAAAAGGTCAGAAAAAGCAAAATAGGACATATTTAAATGATTACAAAATAATATGGTAGACAATAGGAGTTATGCACTAAATGGATATGACATTATAAAACAGTGGGTAGCACTGCTGCCTTGCAGCAAGAAGGTTCTGGGTTCGATTCCCGGTCCGGGGTCTTTTTGCATGGAATTTGCATGTTCTCCATGAGCATGCGTGGGTTCTCTCCAGGTACTCCGGCTTCCTCCCACAGTCCGAAAACATGACAGGTTAATTGACTTGTCAAAATTCTTCTTAGGTGTGAGTGTGTGTGTGTGTGAATGTTTGTCCTGTTGCCCTGCGATGGACTGCCGACCTGTCCAGGGTGTACACCCTCTCGCCCATTGACTGCTGGAGATAGGCATCAGCACCCCACTTGGGATTAAGTGTGTCAGATAATGGATGGATAGTAAAACATAAGGATATTAATATGTTTATAAAGACACAATGCAATATCAGTTAACGCAAAGCATTATATTACTTTATATAGATGAGGAGAGAGATATTCTCTACACATCCCCTAGGAGGGCCCTCCTATAGCTCTCCCCTCTGCTTTCTCTCAGTGCCAGCAGACAGGAAGCTGATGAATGCCGGCCGTAGTCACCCTCTGCCACCAGCAGGTGTCTCCCTGGCCCTTCAAAGACCCAGCTTGTGGCACAAAGAAGGCGGAGTGGTGTTGCTTTAAGCCTTTACAAGCTCTACAAATCCTCAGCTGCTGCTTCCTAACAGGGCCCACTCAGCCCGCCACTGCCTGTCTGACCTTGTGGTTATTGATGAGCGAGTCAACCTGCTCTCTCTCTCTCTCCTCTCTCTGTCTACTCCTCTCCTCCTCCTTCTCCTCTCCCCCCACCCCATGTCATCTCTCTTACCTCCAGCAGTGAGTTAAAATGAGGGGGAACAAAGGTCTGAGTGCCATTCACCTCCATCTTATTTTTTTTTTTGCTCAGTTACACATACATTTTTAACAACAGTTTTGATCTTGTCATCCTGTAAAACCGTTGACCGTACGTCTACATTTCTTTGCCTCTCAACTCCATAATTATACCGAAAAAATATTATGCGAGATGGGGTTCAGAAGTAATTGAATTTCCAGACATTCTCTTGTTCCAATTAACACTAGTCCTTTGTTATATCTTTTGCGACTACCGAGAGCCTATTTAAAGATTAACCCTCTGATGCAGTGCTGATAATAACAACAAGAAGCAATTATGAGCCTTAGCCTATTTACATGCTCTTTTCAGATGTTATCATTCCTTTTCTTTCTCTGATCCACTACCTGTGATCCTATTGGTTTCAGATAGGAATCCTGTCTTACAGTGGTGAGTGTGCGAGTGGGAAATCGGTGCAGTTATGTGCCTTACTTGAGCTTAATTTACTGCAAATTGCACGGCAGGCGTTGCACAACAAGTAGAGCTGTGGATTCCTGCACAACAAAAGACACATGGTGTGGGTTTGTGTGTCTGTGTGTGTGCATGGAGGAGACTGGAGTGGGAGGGAGGAGAAAGAAGGAGACTCGCTTTCCTTCCCCTATTCAAGCGGGAGCTAAAATATATGTATTGAGTGGAAGCTGTAATAAAACGAAACGGGTGAGGAGATGCAGGCCGGGAACAAATATGAAAGGCAGTGGAGTATGGCGGCAAGGCGATGGAGCACCACCGGAGGATTGGATGAAATTATCTCTTTATAATCAGGGGGCTTCTGCATGGCTGCCTCCTCCATTGCCCAGTGACAGATGAGGCCTACCCCCTTCAAATGGGCTTTTTCGGCTTGCTATCGAGCCCACCTCTGGGGTGAAACAATGTTTTTCTTCTCCCCTGTACAACCACTTTAAAGCTTTGCTTCCACTCACCACCCAAAGGAGCTTCTTACACAAGGCTTAGAAGTGGCCGCAGTTTAATTTAATGGCCAAATTGAGACACAACAAGGGACTTTGAGATGGTGGCGCCAAAACAGACCAATGTGGGACAGTAAAACATTGCTTCAGACTCATGATTCTTCAGAGTGAATCTCCAGCCTTTTAATGTGAGGAGTTGTGTGCCGCATCTCAGTGGTACAAAGTGAGAGGCAAAGCAGAGCAGACAATGATTAGCTTTATCCTGCCATCACTGCAGAACAAATGGATCAGAAACCCTCTCCGCTGAGCTGTTAAGGCGCAGGGAAGTGGTAAATAGATTTAATTTATTCCCATAAACAGTTTGTAAACGGAAACAGTCAAGCCTGTAGGAAGCCAGTTACTGTTGGAAAAGGATAGCATCCTGTGCTTGCCTTTGTCTTTTTATTCTCACATTGCTTTGACCAGTGCTCTTCTTGACAAAAAGAGATGCACTCATCAGATTTTGTCAGTCGATATGGTTTCCTGTGATGTTTAACAAGCTAAATGTGTCTAAAGGACTACAGGTTCTTTTGTTAGATCCAGCTTACAAGATGTGACGTTAAAAATAACTCCAGGTAAGATCTGAACAATATTTTAGGGAAAACTCTGAATTTTCTTTTCTTTTTTTTTTTTTTTAAATAGTGTAAAGCTTTCACAAACCTCAATATGTGTTTTCTAATAAGTGTTGAATAATCCAGTGCAGATTTGTCTTTTATTTTCTTTCTTTTTATATTTGTTGAATTGTAGAGCTGTCTAATGCAAAAAGAGCATCGGAGATGCTTCATGGTAATGTTTTACAAAAACATACTAAAACTTTAGTAAATCCAAACTATTGCTTTGAATATAACAGTTCTAAGTACAACAGATCTGTTAAGGATTGATATGTCTGAGCAACAAGGACCCAAGCAAGGGGCCACATATTAGTATCACATGATGGGTTGTTTGCCACTAGATTGTAGAAAACAACAGAATTTTAGTATTATTTTTTTTAACTAAAACATTTGCTTGTTCCCATTGGTGCTTTCCATTCATAACTTCCCATGGGTTGATGTTTTGTCTGCCTTCCAATACCCCCCAGACCCTGGGCTGTAATTTAGGTACTTTCAATTAAATTAAATTCAGTTTATTTATAAAGCGCCAATTCACAACACATGTCATCTCTAGGCACTTTACAGTTCAACCAGATCATACAGTCAAATTGATTCAAAGTTTTCTATCTAAGGAAAGCCGGTTGATTGCATCGACTCATTGACTCGAATGCAATCCCTCACACTAAGCATGTTTGTAGCAACAGTGGAGAGGAAAAACTCCCTTTTAACAGGAAGAAACCTCCAGCAGTATTTTGTATTTTGAACCAAAGATGATCAAATTAGGTCTACACTAAATAAAACCAGTTGCTGCCAAGAGAAAAACCAAGAAGTCGAGACAAAGTTTGTGATAGCTGGTGACAAAATGGTGTTACAGCGTTATAGTGGTGTTACAGTGCTTACAAACGGTCCCAATCTCATCTCTAACTTTATTAGCACTTCTTCTGTTTTGGACCACTTACTCAAAATAGTGTAAGAAAATAGAATAAAGATTATCCAACACT